GGAAGAGGAGTCTGTTTCCTTTTCCCATTGGTGTCGGAAACGGCTCGGTCCGCCTTGGCCTTCGCCTGGCAGCCGAGCAAGGCCTGCTTCCGCTTCTGGGCGCCTCGGCGTCAGGTGCTGCATCTGGCGCGGCCGCCGCTGCGCCTTCCCCCCCAGCGCGCTCCACCAGGTCGGCCTCCTGGCCCTCTCCTTGGGCAGCGATCCCTGGTGCTGCTGGACCGTCCTCCTCCTTGCGTTCCTTCTTGGGCCGAGTGCGGAGGTCGGGAAGCTGCTCGACCTGCTGGGCCAAGAGCTGCTGGCGTTCCCCGCCTGGTCGCGCAGCCGCCTCGCCGCCTCCGCACGGCCTCTGGCACGGTCTCCGCCCGCCGCCCGGCGAGCTCCGGCCTCCGCCGCCTCGACCCGCTGCGTGGGCGACCTGCCCGCCTGCTGGATCTCGGCCACCGTCGCGCGGAGAGCCAGCACCCCCTCCTTTTCGGGGCCGTCCTCACAGTCGTCCAGCTTGGCGTCCAGGAGCCTGTCGTCGACGAGGAAGTCGAGCGGCGTCTGCACCGCAAGCTTCTCGTCCGCCTCCTGCCTCGACGAGCTCGCCCTTGGCCACCTGCTTACACTAGGTCGCCGATGCCTTGGCACGGGCCTGGTCCGCGTCGTGGGCGTCCTTCAAAGCCTGGTCGCGACGGAGGAGCGCCTCGTCGTGGAGGATGACCAAGCGCTCCAGCGCGTCCTCGCACTCCAGCAGCCACTTCTGCGCCTTCTGATGATGTCCCTTCGCTCTCGTGAGAGCCTGCCACGCATCTGGCTGGCGCGGCCACGTCGGCGGCGCGTGCTTGCGCTGGAGATCCTCGATCTCCTGGGCCAACTGCTTGCTCCCTCCTGCGAGGTGCTCCAGCGCCGTCGTCTTGGGCCCCCACCACAAGGACGCTGAGCTGTCAGCGCGCTGCCCGTAGCGATTGCTGCGCCAGGGTTGCACGCTCTGGAAGGCTCCACCAGTCACGCGCCGCACTTGCACCTCCCTCATTGCCTGTCCCCATTGGCCACAGTCATTGCGGACTGAAGGGCTTGCTCTTGAGCATTCTCAGCTGAGCCCCAAACGCTGTGACTGGCCTGTCCAGTCGGATCGCGTCTCTCAGCACGCGCAACCAAGGAGGAGGAGGAGGAGGAGGAAGAGGAGGAGGAGGATGAGGAGGAGGAGGAGGAGGAAGAGCGGGAGGGGGAGGAGGAGGAGGAGGAGGAGGAGGAGGAGAGGGGACTGGTGGAGGAGTGGGGGAGGAGGATGGTGGAGGGAGAAAAGAACCGGAGGAGGAGCGAGGAGGAGGAGGAGGAGGAGGAGCAGCAGGAGCAGGAGCAGGAGGAGTAGGAGGAGTAGGAGGAGGAGGAGGAGGAGGAGGAGGAGGAGGAGGAGGGAGGGGCAGGAGGGAGGAGGCCATCCTTGACCCTCATTTCCTCCCCACCCTCTGGATGGCGCCGCCCCCGCCCCGGGCGGCCCCCGCCCCCGACGGACCCCCCCCGGGCAAACCCGGCGGGCCCTCGCCCGCTCCGCCCCGGCAGAAAGCGTACGACATCATCTTCTCGCCCAACAACATGCTGGATCCGAACGCCACGAGGCGCGGGGGCACAGATCTCCCCATGATCGCCGGGCGCGCTCCACCACTCGCAGGGTGCCTCCTCGCAAACGTCCGAACACACACACACACACACATGTCTGCTCTTTCGTTGGACGTTTTCCCTTGGACGGGTTTGGTTATCGCATCGCATCGCATCGCCTAGCCGACAGCCCGAGAGCTGTCTGAAGCATTGCCAGGCGCCTTCGCGCCTCGTGGCAAGCATCTGGACGCCTGCTGTCGAAGGCTCAGGCCCCCCCCCCCAAAAAAAAAACATGTCTGCTTTGTCAAAGCTTTGGCACGACAGATTACGACATCAATGATGTCGTAATCTGTCGTAGATCCCCCCGTGGGGGAGCCAGGCCATCTGCGAGCAGTCACCCTGCGAGAAGTGGAGCGCGCTTGTCTGCACGAGCTCTGGGCACTGCCCGTTGCCTCACTCGAGGGAGAAAAAAACTGCAGAAACACACATTTGTGGCGCTCCGTGCGGATTTCTTGGATCTGGCACTGCCCGTTGCCTCACTCGACGAAGAAGAAAACTGCAGAAACACACATTTGAGGCGCTCCGTGCGATTTTCTTGGATCTGCGTTGTGCCCCCCTCCGGCGGCGCCTCCGGCGCCGCCCCTGGCGGGTGGTCCAGAGCGGATCCAAGACATCCGCGCGGAGCGCCGAAAGTTTATGCTTATGATGTTGCTTCCTCTTCTAAGCTTATGATGTTCCAACCTACTTGAGCCTTGATCACCAGAAAGAATTTCGAGCACCAAGGAAGTATCGAAACTGGGGGGGTTCACGTGTCGGGCCCTGGGAGGCGATACTCGTTCGACGCTGTTTCGACACTCTTCTGGGTGATCGAAAATATGTTTGGGAGGTGGTCCTTGTAGTACGGGAAGAACCACCCAATTCAAAATGAATCGTCGACTCCCAGGAAAATGTGGAAAAGCATGGGAAGTGGGAGGAAAACCAAAACCTAGGGCCCATGGGCCCCTGCAATTTCTCCTTCTAGGGCAGATCTCCCCATGCCCAGACCCCCGACGTCGTGATTTTTTCACAACGTCGACCCCCAGAGGTCTGGACTCCTTCCCCGGGACCGGCTTTGCATCCTGAGTCGTTTTTTGACGGTCCCGAGGCCCGGTGAGGTCCCCCGGAGGCCGAAAATCAGGAAACACCTCCCGCCGTGATTTTTTCACAACGCGAGGGGGTCGTGGGTGGGCTCCGGGCACTGCCTGCCGCTCCACGCCGGGCCCCTCCGCGCCCGGCCTCGGGCCCCGGGGCCGCCACGGAGCGGTCCGGCTCGGGGGGTGCGGCGAGACGCTGGGGTCGAGGGCTCCCGCCGTGGTTCTTCGCGACGGTGCATGTGTTGTCGCAGCGCCGGGTCTCAGGGTCCCCTCTGCTCCTCCTTTCGGGAGGAGGGGGAGGAGGAGGAGGAGGAGGAGGAGGAGGAGGAGGAGGAGGAGGAGGAGGAGGGAGGCTAGGAGGAGGCAAGGAGGAGGACAAGGAGGAGAGAGGACAACGAGGATGACAACGATGGGAGGACAAGGAGGAGGAGGACAACGAGGTGGAGGAGGAGGAGGAGGAGGAGGAGGAGGACAACGAGGAGGACAAGGAGGAGGACAAGGAGGAGGAGGAGGAGGAGGAGGGATGTCGTGGCCTCCTTCCTCCCTTCCCCCCCAGCAGGGGTCGGCCCCCGCGCGGCCGCCGGCGCGCGCGCCAGCGCGCGCCAGCGCGGAGGCCTTGGGAATTGCCCGAAGGCGTTGCGAGAAATAGGAGGCGGAGGAGGAGGAGGAGGAGGAGGAGGAAAGGGAGGAGGAGACCGAGGATCAGGAGAAGGTACCATCGCCGCTGCCGCCACCCGTCCCTCATCTCGGAACGCGTCCGAGGAGAGGCTGGTGGAATAGCGGTATCCGTATTTTCGTGACTTCTCCTTCCTCCTCCTTCTCCTCCTCCTCCTCATCATCATCATCCTCTGTTCCTCCTCTTCATCCTTCAAGCCTCTTCCTCGTCCTCTTCTTATCCTCCTCCTTTCTCCTCCTTCTCCTCCTCCTCCTCCTCATCCTCTGTTCCTCCTCTTCATCCTTCAAGCCTCTTCCTCGTCCTCTTCTTATCCTCCTCCTTCCTCCTCCTTCTCCTCCTCCTCCTCATCCTCTGTTCCTCCTCTTCATCCTTCAAGCCTCTTCCTCGTCCTCTTCTTATCCTCCTCCTCCTCCTACCTCCTCCTCCTTACTCCTCCTCCCTCATCTCCTCCTCCTCCCTCTCCTCCTCCTCCTCCTCCTCCTGCTCCTCCTCCTCCTCCTCCTCCTCCTCCTCCTCGTCCTCCTTTTCCTCTCTCTCCGCTTCTCCTCCTCCTCCTCCGCTTCTCCTCCGTGGCGGGCCAACAGAGGAGCGGCGGAAGCCATGGACGGCGCCCTCTCCCGGCGGATGGCGGCGGTGGGCCCGCGGACCGCCGTGGAAGCAGAGCACCTGGCCTCTTCTTCCGCTCCCCCTTTCGATCATACGTAAGAGTGACCTTTCGCCGGAGTGACCTTTGGTGCGGGCACAGATGGGTCCCCAGATGGCTGAAAGCGAAGCAGGAGCAACGGCTTGCGCGCCCGGGTCTGGCCCCCACGCGGCCCTCAAAAAGCCGCGCACCAAAGGTCACTCTTACCCAGGGTCACTCTTGCGTGTAGCTGACCCTTCCGCCGGCCTTGCCTGGCGGATGCCCGTGGCAGGTCGGCGGCTGGGCGGCGGCTGCTTCCGTTGGCGCCCCCTCCCGGCGGTCGGCGGCGCGGCTGGCCCGTGGAAGGGCGCGGGAGTGGGGCGCCCGGTCCTGCGGCGGTGCCTTTGCAGGCGTCCCGCGGCTCCCTGGCGGGAGGCTCTCCCCCGACTGTTCCTCCTTCGCCTCTGCCCCCTCCTCCCTGTCCCTCCCTCCCTCCTCCTTCCCGTTGCCTTCCGCTCCCTTGCCCCTCCCCTGTTTGGGGACCAGGGTTGAAATGAAACGATCCTCTGGGGCTCCACAGGCGGAGGTAGTCCCTCTTGGGATGCTGCTGTCCGACACCTACTTCGGCCTCCTGCCTTTCCCCCTTCCGTCCCCCCCGTTCCCTCCTCCCCTCCTCCTTCCCGTTGCTTTCCGCCCCCTTCCCCTCTCACTGTTTGGGGGCCGGGGGTAGATTTAGAACATCTTCGAGGGCTTCACAGGTGGAGGCAATGTGTTTTTTCCCGGAAAGGGCATGGGCCCAGGGTTCTCTTTTAGTTGGTAAACCTAATCCCCCGGTGCCTGCTTGAAGGAGGCCGGCGAATTGCCGGCGAATTTTTTCCCTGATAAATAACGAGGTCGAAGGAGGCCAGCGAATTTTTCCCTGATAAATAACGAGCCCGAGAATTAAAATTTGAGGATGTCTCGAGCGAAACGCTTGTTTTTGAGCGCCGGCGAATTAAAATTTGAGGATGTCTCGAGCGAAACGCTTGTTTTTGAGGCCGGCGAATTAAAATTTGAGGATGTCTCGAGCGAATCGCTTGTTTTTGAAATCCCGACCTCACCACACCCCAGCACGACCACACCCCAGCACGACCTCACCACAGCACGACCACACCCCAGCACGACCACGCCCCAGCACGACCGCGCCCCAGCACGACCACGCCCCAGCACGACCCTACCCCAGCAAGACCACACCCCAGCACGTCCACACCCCAGCACGACCTCACCACAGCACGACCACACCCCAGTACGACCACGCCCCAGCACGACCACGCCCCAGCACGACCACCCCCCAGCACGACCACACCCCAGCACGACCACACCCCAGCACGACCCGACCCCAGCACGACCACACCCTAGCAAGACCACACCCCAGCACGACCACACCCCAGCACGACCTCACCACAGCACGACCACACCCCAGCACGACCACGCCCCAGCACGACCACGCCCCAGCACGACCACGCCCCAGCACAACCCCCCCCCAGCACGACCACCCCCCCAGCACGACCACACCCCAGCACGACCACCCCCCAGCACGACCACACCCCAGCACGACCACTCCCCAGCACGACCACACCGCCTTGGTTGAGTGGTTGACTGTCGTCGTGGAATGTTTCGTGGGGTGTCTCGTGGAATGTTTCGCGGGGTGTCTCCTGGAATGTTTCGTGAGGTGTCTCGCTGAATGTTTCGTGAGGTGTCTCGTGGGATGTTTCGTGAGGTGTCTCGTGGGATGTTTCGTGAGGTGTTGCCCCGTTGGGTATCGTGAAAACGTGCCCATGCTCCACATGTCTATATCCCTTTCCGGGTTCGTGGGTCCATCATGTTGTATGTGCGTGTGTTCTGTGTCAGGAATCCCTCCTACTCGGACAGCTGCTTCAGCCTCTTGCCTTCTTCTCCCCACCCCAGTGAGGACCATCCATCACAGGCCTCACCAGTGAGGACCATCATCGGCTTCACACCCCTCGCAGCTGCCATCATAGGGGCTGCTTTGGGCCCGCCCTCTCCCGCCAATTCACCATTACACCACGCCGTCAGTAGGCGCTGGAGTGGGCATAGGACGCCTTTTATGGACCCTCGGCCAACGAAGACGTCCGTAAAGGAGGGCCCCAATACACCTCCACCTTTTTTTCCCGGAAAGGGCTTAAGCCTAGGGTTCTCTTTTAGTATGTAAACATGTCCCCCGGTGCCTGCTTGAAGGAGGCCGGCGAATTTTTTCCCTGATAAATAACGAGGTCGAAGGAGGCCGGCGAATTAAAATTTGAGGATGTCTCGAGCGAAACGCTTGTTTTTCAGAATTTCTTGAGGATGTCTCGAGCGAAACGCTGGTTTTGCAGAGTTGAGGATGTCTCGAGCGAAACGCTTGCTCCGCAGAGTTTGCCGAGGATGTCTCGAGCGAAACGCTTGTTTTGCAGAGCCGACCGCGACGCGGAAAAGCGCCCCGCGCGAAGGAATTTCGATGATGTCTCGACTAATTCCTTTGTTTTTTTACGATTTCCTGGAATTTTGGCAGGATGTCTCGAGCGAAATGCACGACCCCACCCTAGCACGACCACGCCCCAGCACGACCACACCCCAGCACGAACACACCTCAGCACGACCACACCCCAGCACGACCACACCCCAGCACGACCACACCCCAGCACCAGCACGACCACACCCCAGCCCGACCCGATCGATAAGTCACAGGGTGCGGACCACCCCAGCACGACCACACCCCAGCACGACCCCACTCCAGCACGACCCCACCCCAGCACGACCACGCCCCAGCACGACCACACCCCAACACGACCACACTTCAGCACGACCACACCCCAGCACGACCTTGCCAGCCAGACACACCCTGGCACGACCCGCCCCAGACACGACCCACCCAGCCTAGACCACGCCCAGCACGGAACACACCCCAGCACGACACACCCCGCACGGCCTCACCCCAGCTCGACCCCCACCAGCACGAAGCCACCCAGCACGCCACACCCCTGAACGACCAAACCCAGCCACGACCTCCATACCAAGCACGACACACCCCTGCCCGACCACGCCCCAGCACAACCACTCCCCAGCACGACCCGCCCCTGCACGAGCCCACCCAGCACGACCACACCCCAGCACGACCACGCCCCAGCACGACCACTCCCCAGCACGACCCCGCCCCAGCACGAGCCCACCCCAGCATGACCACACCCCAGCACGACCTCACCACAGCGCGACCCCACCCAAGCACGACCCCACCCCAGCAAGACCACACCCCAGCACGACCACACCCCAGCACGACCTCACCACAGCGCGACCACACCACAGCACGACCACACCAGCACGACCACCCCCCAGCACGACCACACCCCAGCACGACCACACCCCAGCACGACCACTCCTCAGCACGACCACACCCCAGCTCGACCACACCACAGCACGACCACACCCAGTCGCACTCCCGTGGAATGTTTCGTGGGGTGTCTCGTGGAATGCCGTCGTCGTCCTCGTCCGCGATGTGCTTTGGTTGAGTGGTTGCCTGTTCGTGGGGTGTCTCGTGGAAGGTTTCGCGGGGTGTCGCGTGGAATGTTTCGTGAGGTGTCTCGTGGAATGTTTCGTGAGGTGTCTCGTGGGATGTTTCGCGGGGTGTCTCGTGGGATGTTTCTTGAGGTGTCGCCCAGTTGGGTATCGTGAAAACGTGACCGTGCTCCACATGTCTATATCCCTTTCCGGGTTCGTGGGTCCATCATGTTACACCGTCACCCAATACACCAGCCAACCAGTTACTCATATTCCTCCTCCTTCTCCGCCACCTCCTCCTCCACTAACGAGGCTCAGGCGCCGCAGGGCCATTTTACCTCAAGTCCTCCACCTCGACGTTAGGACCCCTCAGGACCGGCGATCTGTCACCGTTCCGCCGGATCGGCCCCCGAGCCCGAACGCCAGCCCGCAGAGGGGCCGATGGCGTGGCATCGGCTGCCGCCGTCCTTTCGGGGCCCTCGTCGAGCATGCTTAAATCGGGCATGTTCCTATACGGGAGGCATATTCAAAATAATAAGACATGGTCTGGGGACGAGTTCCACTACTTTTTTCCCGGAAAGGGCCTGGGCCCAGGGTTCTCTTTTAGTGGGTAAACCTGTCCCCCGGTGCCAACTTGAAGGAGGCCGGCGAATTTTTTCCCTGATAAATAACGAGGTCGAAGGAGGCCGGCGAATTAAAATTTGAGGATGTCTCGAGCGAAACGCTTGTTTTTCAGAATTTCTTGAGGATGTCTCGAGCGAAACGCTGGTTTTGCAGAGTTGAGGATGTCTCGAGCGAAACGCTTGATTTCAGAATTTGCTGAGGATGTCTCAAGCGAAACGCTGGTTTTGCAGAGCCGACCGCGACGCGGAAAAGCGCCCCGCGCGAAGGAATTTCGATGATGTCTCGACTAATTCGTTTGGTTTTGTACGATTTCCTGGAATTTTGGCAGGATGTCTCGAGCGAAATGCACGACCCCACCGCACGACCACGCCCCAGCACGACCACACCCCAGCACGAACACACCCTGCACGACCCCACCCCAGCATCAACGACCCCACCCCAGCACGACCATACACCCAGCACGGACACACCCAGCAAGACGCCCGACAGCACGGACCCTACCAGCACGCAAGTGTTTGTGAGCGCTAACCCAGCACGACTCTCACCAACGCACGACCCACACCCAGCACGTCCTCGCCCCAGCACGACCACGCCCCAGCACGACCACGCCCCCATGCCGACCACCCCCAGCCCGACACCCCCCCAGCCGACCACCCCCGAGCACGACCCACCCCCAGCACGACTCACGCCCAGCACGACCACTCCCAGCTCGACCCCACCCCAGAACGGACCACCCCCCGCAAGAAACACCCCAGCACGACCACACCCCAGCACCAGCACGACCACACCCCAGCACGACCCGATCGATAAATCACAGGGTGCGGACCACCCCAGCACGACCACACCCCAGCACGACCCCACCCCAGCACGACCCCAACCCAGCACGACCACGCCCCAGCACGACCACACCCCAGCACGACCACACCCCAGCACGACCACACCCCAGCACGACCCCACCCCAGCACGACCCCACCCTAGCACGACCACACCCCAGCACGACCACACCCCAGCACGACCACACCCCAGCACGACCCCACCCCAGCACGATCACACCCCAGCACGACCCCACCCCAGCAAGACCACACCCCAGCACGACCGCACCCCAGCACGACCTTACCACAGCACGACCACACCCCAGCACGAACACGCCCCAGCACGACCACGCCCCAGCACGACCACGCCCCAGCACGACCACGCCCCAGCACGACCACGCCCCAGCACAACCACCCCCCAGCACGACCACCCCCCCAGCACGACCACCCCCCAGCACGACCACCCCCCAGCACGTCCACACCCCAGCACGACCACTCCCCAGCACGACCACACCGCCTTGGTTGAGTGGTTGCCTGTCGTCGTGGAATGTTTCGTGGGGTGTCTCGTGGAATGTTTAGCGGGGTGTCTCGTGGAATGTTTCGTGAGGTGTCTCGTGGAATGTTTCGTGAGGTGTCTCGTGGGATGTTTCGTGCGGTTGTGTCTCGTGGGCTGTTTTCGGTGAGGTGTCTCGTGGGATGTTTCGTGAGGTGTTGCCCAGTTGGGTATCATGAAAACGTGTCCATGCTCCACATGTCTATATCCCTTTCCGGGTTCGTGGGTCCATCATGTTTAGACTATGCGGGAGTATGTTTTTCAGGAGGGGAAAAAAACACAGACACAATTAATCGTCGATTCCCAAGAGAATATTGGAAACTATGGGAAGTGGGGGGAAGACAAAAACGCAGAAAATGTAGGAAAATATGGGGAACAGTTTTATTTGTGTGTATTTATTTGTGTGTCCTGGGGCCCCTTCAGTTTTGAAAATCCCCACTTCTCTTCCGAAGCCCGCCTGCAGGAGGACATGCCCAAGCTGAAGATGTGGCGTCCGCCAGCATGGCCCCCCCGGCTCTCCCGGCGGGGGGGAGCAGACGGCACAGCCGAGAGGGGGGCGAATCTGCTTTCGGGGCATCGCTGGGGCGTGTGCACTTGTTCAGAGCCCCGAATCATCCGGGGTAACTCGGGTCAGGGCTAACTCGGGTTCCTTTTCCGGGAATCCGAACCCGATTTATCCCGGACCCGAGTTACCCCGGAAAATTCGGGCATCCAGAGCCCCGAATCATCAGGGGTAACTCGGGTCAGGGCTAACTCGGGTTCCTTTTTTCGGGAATCCAGACCCGAGTTACCCCAGACCCGAGCTACCCCAGATAACTCGGGCGCCCAAATCGAGGAACACCCTGAATCATCTTCCGAGAAGACACACGAGGCCGACAAGGGAACGGGGAGTGGGCGTCCGAGCGATGGCAGGCAGGATGGTCGAGCGGCGAAACACGGCACAAACATGCAAACGGTCGACGGTCCGCGCGAATGTTTTGGATCGGCGCTGGGGCTCCCCTGGCCGCGCATCGGGGGCCGCGCCTGGCGCGCCCCCGCGCGCCAGGGAGGGGGGCCCCAGCGCCGACCGAAGACGTCCGCGCGGAGCGTCGCACGTTTGCGTGTTTACCCATCGGTCGCTGAAAGTAGGTATTTTTGGATCCCCATATTCCAATCTGCTTTCAGCGCCTTCCTGCTTCAAGAGTCGAGTGGTTTTTCCTCTTCCCTCCTCTTCAGGTGCCGGGGCGGAAACCCGATCTATTTTCAACGCCTTCTTACTTCATGTTTCTACCTACTTCTTCCGACCGATGGGTATGCCGTTTTTCTTTCCTCCAATTCTTTGTTGTTTCTCTCTCTCTCTCTCTGTCGAGCGCTCCCGCTTCGGCAGGCTCCCGCAGGGGCCCCGACACCTCGCTCGCCTCGCCTCGGGCCCCGTCGTCGAGGGCGGAGGCGGGAGGGGCAGCCCGCCCCGCCGAAAAGGGTGGACGACGTGGCCGACACGTACGAGACGCGCGGGATGGAGAACATCCTGCTTGGGCCTCACAATGAGACAGCTTCAACTTCTTTCCGCTCCTGCCTTGACGGGGGAGGGAGGAGGAGGACGAGGAGGACGAAGAGGAGGAGGAGGAGGAGGAAGAGGAGGAGGAGGAGGAGGACCAGTGTAAACCCAAGAGTCATCAACGATGTTGGAATTAACCCTCCCTCCAAGCTCCCTCTTCGTTGGCCCCTACAACGGTTCATTTCCATTGAGGGAATTGCCTCGTTGGAAGACGACCGTTTGAAGGCCTTGAAGCATGCCAATACATTGTTCTCGGGATTTCCACGCCACGGATTAGGCTGACTGCTGCGTTTTGACGATCTTGGAATCGTGCCAGCACGCCATGTTGGGGACTTCAACACCGCGAATCAACACAACTGTTGCACCTGCATAATCCTCAATCCGTCAAAAACACTATTTCTGGTACGTTGATCATGGGAATCCGAGAAACTCTTGCAAGTTCTTCAAAGACGAATGTGCGCGGCGCTAAGGCGAAAACCACATTTTGAAAATGAGCCGCAATCAATCCGTGAAGCCCTTGCAAATGTTTAAAGCGAATGTGCGCGGCGCTAAGGCGATAGCTACATTTTGAAAACGACCCGCCCTCAATCCATGAAACTCTTTGCATTTGTTCAAGCGAATGTGCGCGGCGCCAAGGCGGGAGCCACATTTTGAAAATCACCCGCCCTCCATCTGTGAAACTCTTGCAAATGTTTGTGCGCGGCGCTAGGGCGAGAGCCACATATTGAAAACGACCCGCCCTCAATTCGTTAAGCTCTTGCAAATGTTCAGAGCGAATGTGCACGGCGCTAAGGCGAGAGCCACATTTTAAAACGACCCGCCCTCCATCGAGTTTCACAGTCATAAATGGTGAGGAAGTCTCAGGCGAAACGCCCGGCCCGCACTAAAACTGGCCTCGGGGTGCGACAGGGAGAAGTTGTTTATAAGAAGAAGGAATGGAGGAGGAGGAGGAGGAGGAGGAGGAGGAGGAGGAGGAGGAGGGGGCAGGAGGTCGAGGAGGAGGTGGAGGAGAAGGAGGAGGAGGCGGAGGAAGATTGGCGGACGAGGAGCAGGAAGAGGAGGAGGAGGAGGAGGAGGAGGAGGAGGAGCTGAGGAGGAGCTGAGGAGGAGCTGCGGAGGAGCTGAGGAGAAGTAGGAGGGATGCACGTCAGTGAAGAAGATTATCGGCGAGGAGGAGGAGGAGGAGGAGGTCCAGGAGGAGGAGGAGGAAGAGGAGGAGGAGGAGGAGGAGGAGAAGAGGAGGAGGAGGAGGAGGAAGGGAGGAGGAGGAGGAGGAGGAGGAGGAGGGGGTAACGTAAGATTCCAGGACGCCGGAACTTGGGTTTGCCAGCGTTTTTTACCGGGCCTGTCCTGGCATGTGACGGTCCAGTTTTCGTGTTTCTTAGGTCTGGTTGTTCCTCAGCCCTCCTCGTGCACGCTGGCGCTTGTGGGGCGCAGAAAGGGCGCTGTTCCTTATTTAGCGTTCCTTGTTTCAGCGGCCCGCCTGTACCCGCACCAGCGTGGGTGAACGTTCAGAACTCAGGGAAGCGTTGGACTCGATTGCGCCGGAACTCGGGTTCGCCGGCTCTTTTGGACGGGCCCGTCCCCGGCTTTGATTGTCCTATTTTCGTGGCATGTTTGCAGCGGGAGCCCGCGTCAAATGTCAGCTTGGGTCTCGCCATTTTCATGAGGGCCCCGTCAGGCCAACCCGAGCCCCCCCGAGCCCCAGTCTTGCGACTCCCCGAATAATTTTCATCTTCGGTCAGCCTTTCAATTCGACAGGTCGTGATGACACCTCGCTCGCTAAAGTTGCACTTGCCAGTACAAGGTTCAGCGGGACCAGAGCGCCTGGGCCCGGGGAAGAGGTGCCGATTTCGTGTCGCGTCGGCGTCGGTCATTCGCGGGCGAGGCGCAGCTGCGCGTGCGGGGTGAGAGGGGGTGACAGCAGTCATAGAGAGATCTGCCAAGTGACAGAGCCAATCAGACAGACAGTGAGCCACAGAGACGCACTGATGCATGGAGGGACCTGAGCTCATGCACTCTGGCGAGCGGGGTGCACGCAGGCATGCGATCTGCCCCGGCACTCCAAACCCTCTGGTCGCCCTCTTCCTCCTGCCCCCTTCTGCCCTCCCAGATCCCCGACTCCACGTTCCTTCGCAGCGGCGACCGCCGATGGTCTCGGTCCATCCCCCCGGGAAGGGTTTTTGTTCGCCCGGAGCCCTTTTGGTGTCCGGCCCTGACGAGGCCCAGTGAGGGCCCCGAGAGGCCGAAGAGTTAGCAGCAGCGCGGCCGTGTTCTGTTTTCGCGGCGAGAGGGAGGGAGGAGGAGGAGGAGGAGGAGGAGGACGAGGAGGAGGACAAGGAGGAGGAGGAGGAGAAGAGGAGGAGGAGGAGGAGGAGGAGGACAAGGAGGACGAGGAGGAGGAGGAGGACAAGGAGGAGGACGAGGCGGAGGAGGAGGCGTTTTTTTGTGGTGGGCTCCGTGCTTCCTGCCCCCATCCCGCTCCTCCTCGGGGTCTCGTTCACGGCGAGAGGGGAGTGTCTGCTCAAACGACGCGAAGATCGGGACAAAATCGGATCGGTATAACTCGAAATCTCTGAGAATCGGCGGGTTTGGAGAATGTATTGGGCGCCGCGGCCGCTCCAGCGTGTTCCGGAACGCTCTGAGAGCGCTCCGGAACGCTCTGGAGCGATTTACCCCGATCCTAGCCCTGTTTTATCTGCCCTTCCTCGGAGCAGGTGGCGACGGAGGATCGCCGATGCATCGGCGATGCGCCGTCGATGCGGCTCGATGTGGAGCCCTATTTTCTCCACGCCGACGTCGCCGATGCGTCGCCGATACAGCCGGACCGAGGCATATAGGTCGAGGCTGGCTCGGGGAGGGTACTCCAGTGGTCTTCGCGCCTGCTGGATGTCCGTGCGCATCCTGGGGAGGGTGCCCTTGGGATGTTCTGCATGTTTGGGCCGACGGAGGGTCTCATGTTCTTGAGGGGCGTTCTTCTGGCCTAGATCCGACTGTACACTGGCGATACGGTGCAATCCTCAGACCCTAACTCCTCGGTGCCACCTGGAAGGTCTCTACACGTCGGTCGTTGGAACTAGATTCTATAGGCTTGCGCCACATCCGCCGACCCCTCTATAAACTGCTGCGCCTCCAGGACTGCATCCAGGAAGGGCGAACGTGGCTGCAAGAGTACCTGGGCGTCTGGGTGCAAAGGCGGCAGGAGTTTCGACAGAACCACGTGCACCAGTGGAGTAAGCGTTTGCAGCGCGTGGTACCGTTGGCACACTGTCAGAGGAAAGACGACATGACGCAATGCAAAAGATCCCGAAGTCGAAGTTCACGGTTGGACCGCATTTCGCGCGTGCCATCGAAAGACGCGTGTTGAAGTGCAAGGCGTGCGCGTCCGATATGCTAGTGCTGTGTTTTGTGATCTGTACGTGCTTCGCCCCCTGCCGCCGGCCCCCCTTTTCTCGAATGGGACTTGCCAGAGCTGCGTTGGGATGTCTGGACGCTGACGTGAAACAATGTCGGGACTTCACGCGAGGGCCAATATGAATCTACATCGGTTCATAGCTTCGGTGGCGCGAATATTAGGTAATTTGCAATGATATATGGCTTCGGGGACGCGATCAGGGCGTAATTTACGAAAATTGTGTGGCCTCGGGGACGCAAGCGTTTTATAATTTACGAGGGTGTATGGCCTCGGGGTCGCAACTATTGCGTAATGCGCGAGAGTTGATGGCCTCGGGGGTATATAGTGTCATTTGCAAGGGTTTGTGGCCTCGGGGGCGCAAGTAGGGTGTAATGCATGGAAGTGCGTGGCCCTGGGGGCGCGGATATTTCCCAGAAACGGCGTAGGCCCAGGGTTCTCTTTTAGAGGTTTACCCCCGGATCTGACGGGAAGGGGGCCGGCGGATTTCTTTTGCGATCAATAGCGAGTGGGAAGAGGGCCGGCGAATTAAGATTTCACGATGTCCCTAGCGAAACGCTTGTGATTTCCCGAATTTGTTGAGGATGTCTCGAGCGAAACGTTTGTTTTGTGTTATAGATTGTCTTCTCCTGGGGACCAGAATTTAGAGGATATCTGAAGTGAAATGCTTGGTTTCACGTGCCCAGGTCTTGAGGATGTCTCGAGCGAGACGCTTGGTTTCACGCCTCCAGGTTGCCCAGGCAGAGGTGAAGTGCCAGGATTTGTTGAGGATGTCTCGAGCGAGACGTTGGGTTTCACGCGCCCTCGTCGCCCAGGCGGATGTCTAGAATGAGGAGGTGTTGAGGAAGTCTCGATCGAGATGCTTGCTTGCACGTGTCCAGGTTGCCCAGGCGGATACCTAGCATGAGGATGTGTTGAAAATGTCTCGAGAGATACGTTTGTTTTCACGTGTCCAGGTCGCCCAGGCGGATGTCTGACATGAAGATGTGTTGAGGATGTATCGAGCGAGACGTTTGCTTTCACGTGTACAGGTCGCCAAGGCGGATGTCTAGAATGAGGAGGTGTTGAAAACGTCTCGAGCGAAACGCTTGTTTTCACGTGGCCAGGTCACCCAGGCGGACGTATCACATGAATATGTGTTGAGGATGTCTCGAGCGAGCTACTTGTTTTCACGTGTCCAGTTCGCCCAGGCGGATGTCTAGCATGAGCATGTGTTGAGGATGTGTTGAGCGAAGCGTTTGTTTTCACGTGTCCAGGTCGCTCAGGCGGATGTCTAGAATGAGGATTTTGACCGGATGTCTCGAGCGAAGCGCTTGTCCCCAGCACGTTCCGTAGCGCGTCCCTTTGGCACGTCCCGCGGCGCGTCCCCACGGCACGTCCCCTGGCATGTCGCCCAGCGCGTCCATTGACACGTTTTGCGGCGCGTCCTCCTGGCGTGTCCCCCTGTCAATTAGCTCTGCGGCAGATACCATGTGTTCAGGCAGCTCGAGCTTAAGATCCATAGCAGTTCGGTCAGGACTCGGATGCAAATGAGGACTCGATCCACGACGCTATAGAGCACAACCGCGGCATGGCA